GGTCCTGCAATATGAACTGATTTCTGACATGAAACCAGGGCCCACCAAGCCCAGGAAAGCAGGAGCCAGTTCAGCTCTAGTTTTGAAATTGTGTCTGTGGGTCAGGGTGGATCTCAGCAAAAGGTTCTTCCCCCAGAGGGTGGTTGGCACTGAACAGGCTCCCCAGGGCAGTGGGCACAGCCCCAAGGCTGCCAGAGCTGCAGGAGGGTTTGGATGATCCTCTGGAGCACAGGGGGTGATTCTTGGGGGTGATCCCATGCAGGGCTAAGGGTTGGACTGGATGATCCCTGTGGGTCCCTCCCAGCTCAGCACGTCCTGGGATTCCGTGATTTGGAAAAGTGATTCCCGTAGCTGAGCACTCACACCGTGTCCCCTGTCCCCTCTGCCCAGAGATGAAGATGTACTCCCTGGCTGTCACCCCCAACGGGCACCTGGAGGGCAGGGGGTCGATGCCCCCTCCCATCATCCTGCGCACGGCGGCCACCCCGATGCCCACCCCGAAGTGCTCCCCGCACATGGACTCGGTGCACACCTTCGTGGACTCGAGGAGAGGCAGCAACGCTTCCCTGGACCCCACGAGCTACGATCAGAAGTCCCTGGTAGGTTCCAGGAGGCACCGGCGTTCGGTGTTTTCCTGCTTGGGAATCCACGCCAAGCCACCTGAAATTCACAGCCTGAGACAAGTCGTGAGTTCACGCAGTTACCCCCAACAACCCCCTCAGAGGAGGAGCAGGAATCCTTTCCCAACCACACTGGCCGTTTGTGGTGTCTTGGAGAAGCTGCCAGGTGTCCCTGTGAGGATGAGGCCTGTTTCCCTCTCGATGTTTTGGGGTTGTATCTTGAATTTACAAGGGGGATGAAGCATCGTTTGCCCCTCCCAACCCAGCTGAGCTCTGGTTACGGTGCAGCAGCCCCGCTGGAGGGGAAGCAGAGGGAACAAGGAGTGAGCTGATGGATTGCCACCAGGCACAGCTCACAAGAGCAGGGGTCTGGCTGGAGCTCTGCTCTGGCAGCTGGCTGTGCTTGCCTGCAGCGGGGGAGCGGGAGGGCAGCTCTGTGTAAACAGGCAGCGGGTTAACAGACAAAGCGGATTTTTGCTGCCGCTCATCGTCCCGTTCCCGTGCTCTGTAACTGCAGTATCGTGTTCCAATCAGGGCAGCAGACCGTGAAGGCACTTCGTGCCTCTCTGCCCCTCGGTAAAGCTGCTTAGTCAACGTGGTGCTTCTGAAAAGAAAACAGAGATGGCTGTTGTTTGCCTTGGGCTTTCATGGGATTGCGAGGTGCTGGAGAGGGTTGTTCGTCGTTTGAATCCTTTCTGGGGTATAGCACATCAGTGCCACCAGCCAGAGGCAGATGAAGCAGTCAGAGGAGAGCTGCCCAGCACTGAGGAGGAGGAGGAGGAGGGAGGCAGTTTGCCTCGCTTTGTGCTGGGAGGAAACCACGGAAAGAAAAGGAGTTTCCTTCGGGCTTTTCTGCGCTCCCCTTAAGCTCCCTCAACCTGCCAAAGTGCACTGGCACAGCCTGATCTGTGCCAGAAATCTGTGTGAGAGAAGCATTCATTCCACTGCCTTATGCATTCAATTGAGGAGAAAATATTGGAAATAGGGGCATGATTCCCAACAGACACTTGGGTGCCAGGGCTCCTTTGGAAGGCAGGGAAGTTGTGGGCTTGAGGAACATCACTTCAGCAGGAGTGTCTTTGGGTTCGGTTTTCTTGGAGAATTGGTGTTGTCAGGACAGAGGGAAGTCACACAGGACAGAGGATTGGCAGCTGTGCCACGGGGGTGGGTCAGGAGCACCTTCAGTGTGTCCTTGGGCTCCCATCTCAGGGCTTTGGCCTGATGGAACAGGAGCGGTGAGGGAAGCTGGGAGGGGAAGACAGGACCTGCAGCAAGAAGGATCTTCCAATCTTCCAAAATACCACATAGCACAACTTCTATGAGGAGAGGCTGAGGGAGCTGGGGTTGTTTAGTCTGGAGAAGAGAAGGCTTAGAGGTGACCTCATCACTCTCTTCAACTACCTGAAGGGAGGTTGTAGCCAGGTGGGGGTTGGTCTCTTCTCCCAGGCAACCAACAATAGGACAAGGGGACATGGGCTCAAGCTCTGCCAGGGGAGGTTTAGGTT